AAAAAAGGAAGAAGGAGAAGAAGAAGCTGAAGAAGAAGAAGAAGAAGGAAGTACTCCTTAGTTCTGTCAACAAACATGAAGTCAAAAAGTTGTTGGATTGCCAGGATTCATCGTCGATCACCTTCCAAAGCTCTTGTATATTCCTTGATAGCAATAATAGCTAAAACTCCTTGATCATAAGCGTGATCGAATCTAAATAAAGCTGCACTACTCCCTAATCACAAGCGTAGTAAACTCAAACTCGATCATAAGCATGATGGACACTCCACATCTGCACTCCTGGATCTCAAGTACTATCAACTCTGAAGTAAATTTTGTAGCTAAATACAAAGCTATATGACTTCCCAAAGTTGCTGCAAGTGATTTTCAATCCAAAAGCTAGTTCGCTGTAGGAAGCATGTTTTCTAATGTGGTATTATGTCGTTGCTGAGAGTGTGGCACTTTTTTGTACATGTCATGATATCCCTATCCACAAATAAAGTAACAATTGTTTTCATTAAGAAAAAATAACAATGAAAACTTATTCCTACACACAGAAAAACCATATCAATAAATTATATAGAAGAATTAGATCAGTAACAATTGTTACACCACGTTCGAGAAATCGACCGCTCCTTTGATTGCCAAGCGTCGAGACGTTCTTAGCCGAGAATTGATCGGTGACGTCGAGCAAATGGTTATACGTAAAATGCCCTCAAGATGACGAGAGTTCTTACAAGAGGAGGATATGTGTCGAGAACTCCGCCTAAGCCGTGAAGTTCACGACGTTGAGAGAGCAGCCTGGTCAGATTCAACTTAAATCCTGCCAAATCAGGAAAAGATAAGCTACAACAACTGTCCATATTCGAATTTATAAATCAGATGACTAATAAAGGTAATTTCTCCGATTTGGTCATTCAAATGTGGAAACACAATTGTCAAATCCTGAGATTTAGAAATATGGAGATGATCCCCGCGCAAATGGAGATGAGGTCTCTGATTTGTGAAAGGCCTATAAATAGAGCATGTCTCCTCCATTCAGTGGTTTACACACTATTTTACTACTTCAAGAGAGAATTGTAATTATGATAATACTAGTGCATCTGCAAGTGGTCGTATGTAAAGAATTTCTGCTGAACCACTAAACTTTTGTATCCTCTGTTTTTCTGCATTTATTTTCTTGATTAATTCATGAGAGACATTTGCGAGTGTTCCCGAAGTGTCACGCCCCCAAACAGAGGTTAGTGACGTAGATGCTTGTTTAGAAACTTAAACCTATTTAAGAAAGTGATTAGCAAATAACTGTGCTAAAATTTAACTTTTCAAATCCAAAACATCCAGGTATTTCCAAACAAACCCCTGCATTTAAGAGAAATTTAATTTCAAGAAGGGTGGTGGAATTTCTGACCAAAACAGTTTAAACCTGTGCCCCTAGTATCATGTTCGGAACTCTCACAGGTTTAGCATACATGAATTTAAATAAAAGTAAATGTGACATCAACCATAGTCTAGCAATATCTAAGTTTACAATCTATAATTTTATACTTGCCTTGAGATAAAGGAAAAGAGGAAATACAACTCTTCACTTCTCAGGGACGAGTTCAGCTACCTACTCCGCACTACTCCTTGCGTCGCCTAGAGGGGTTTAATACATTTGAAAACATTGAAAAGTGAGCGGAAGGCCCAGTAGGACATAAGCTTATAAAACATAATAAATAAGGTACTCACGGTCCGAAGACATGCACCCGGAACCGGTCATCCATTTAAAAAAAAAAGGAAATACTCACATAGTAGTAGAAAAGTATATGTCTAATGAAAATGTGTAGAGCCATAACACCATTGAGCAAGAAGTGGTTCCGTATAGGTTTCGGGACCTGCCCCCAAGGATATGATTCCCATATCCCGATCTTTGTGGCCATCATGCGTTGTATCATTCCTTAAAATATTTCATTTTAAGAAATGATAATCTTTTAAAATCTCATTTCCAAAATCATTGAAAAACTTAATAGCATTATTCATGCTATTTCCTTTAAAATCATTTTCTTGAAACATGTTTTGTTCAAAAATATTTTTATTGGCCAAAACCATTTAAAGTGAGGCAAATAAGGATATGGACAACAATATCCTACCTTTTTGGATGTCAAACCTGTGGCTATCTTCACGTAACCCTAGCTCTGCTTGCCTTAAAGCTTTAATACTCGATCTTCTCCACTAGATTTATGACAAAAGAAGTGTCTTAGGATATATTTCTCATTCCTAAAACGAATTGAGCTCAATCATGTTTAATTGTTTCCTATTAGTGTGCCTTGACTCAAATATGAGTTTCACAATTGATTTTATAATTCAGTTTGGGGGTTCTTTAAAGATTGAAATCCAATCCATGAGTTTGGTTTCCTATTTAATTTCAGTTTAAAAATAACTTTTTAAAGAAATTTCGGCAGCATGCCGGCATAAATAGGAAAAATGCTAAACCTGCAATTCAAGCTCAATTTCAAAATAGATTATCCAGAATCCATCAAAACCAGTTTCCAATCAATTAAACAAGTCTAATAACTGAAAACCCCCAAATTTCATTCAATTCTAACAACAATTTTTCAAATCCAAACCCTAACTCAAAATTATTCAAATATAACCAAAATTAAACTTTCTCAAGCTTAAAATTCGAATCAAAGATTGGGTTTCAAGGGGTTTTACCTCAAATTAGTTGATGGAGCTTCGTTTCCCTCGGTTTCTCCCAATTTTCATTTTTTTTTTATCTTTCAGCCAAACTGCCGAGAGAGAGAAACTCAGAGAGAGCAATGGAGAGAGAGAGAGAGTGAGGCCGGCGGGAGAGAGAGAGAGCCCGGAGGAAGTGGCTGGCAGTGGAAGAAAAGAAAGAGAGGGAGGTGGGTGGCGGTGGGCGTGGGAGAACCAGAGGAAATAATAAAAAGAAAAAGAAAGAAAGAGAGAGAGAGAGGGGGGCTGGGCTGCACTGGAAGGAAAAAGAAAGGAAAAAGAAAAGAAGAAAAAAAAAAGAAAAAGGAAAAAGAAAAGAAAAGGAAAAGAAAAAGAAAAATGAAAAAAAGGAAAATGCATTAAAATTTAAGTGTATTTTCAAAAACTTTTGGGGTGAATTCATAAATACTGAAAATAATTTAAGGTTCCTTAATTAATTGTGGAAATCAAATTAGGCACACTAATGACTTACAGTTTAGCATAATTAAACATGTTTAATTCTGGAGGGCGTTACACGAAGAGGTTTAATTTTGGGTTGACTAAATTTCATCGTTAACAATTGGCGCTAGAAGGAGGGCCCATACCCAGAAATCAAATCCAACAATAGCAGTGAACATGCCTCCGAGAACAACTCGCAGTATGACGGCTAATCAGAAAAGCCAGGAAGGCCATTATCCTACCACTGAATGGGGGAATCTGACGAATCCACCCAACGGCAACCAGGAACCGGTAGGAGTGCAGCCCAATCGCAGGGTGAATCCAACGGCCACTGGAAACCCCCAAGATCGCCTTGACCTGCTTCAAAAGCAGGTCGAGACACTCGTGGCTGTAGAAAGAATGCCCACAGCCCTCGCTGAACGAGATTAAAGGCCACATTTGATGTCATCGTTAGAGGACACGCCGATGAACCCAGTAAACGCCGCTGCCGGGAACCAGACTATTGGTGACCAGCGTGGTGATGCTGAGGGAGTCGGTGACAGTGGGGCCAACAATAACCTAGTTGAGAGTCGACCCTTTTTTCCTCTAACATATTGAATTCCCCGTTCATTGCTTCGACGTTTGCGTCGTCCTCGTAGGCGATCGTTCTTAATGTCGGCGTCTCAATTTCCACGGGGAGCACTGCCTCGACTCCATACGTCATAGAGAAGGGTGTTTCGCCTGTTGTAGTTCGACTGGTCGTCCTATATGCCCATAAGACCTTCGGGAGTTGTTCAGCCTATTTTCCCTTCAAGTCATCAAGATTTTTCTTCAAGGTGTATTTCAGGATTTTGTTAACGACTTCAACTTGACCGTTGGATTGCAGATGTATCGGCACTAAGATGTTTTTTTGAATGCCCAAATCGTCGTAAAATTTTCACGTTGCGGCATTGTCAAACTGTTTACCATTGTCAGACACGATCGAATGCAGAATCCCAAATGTGCATACAATGTTGTTCCAAATGAAACCTGTGCAGACAGCCTCTGTGATCGAAGTAAGAGCTTTCGTCTCGGCCCACTTAGTGTAGTAGTCCATGGCGATTATGACAAATTTAAAGCCTCCTAATGCAAGGTGTAAATGTCCGATCAAGTCGACCCCCTATTTGGCGAAGGCCATGGGCTAAGAATGGAAGTTAGGTTTTCTGGGGGCGCTCTAAGAATTGTGGCATATCATTGGCACTTATCGCAACGCCGAGCATATTGATACACGTCTTTTTTAAGCGTATGCCAATAGTACTCATGTCTCAAAACCTTTAGAGCTAAAGATTGCCTAAAAGACCTCTTGTGCCTCATTGTTATCTAGGCACCGTTGTAAGGACGTTGAGAAGCCTCATCTGTACATCACGTCAAATCTTGGTACAGTTGTACTTCAATATGGACGTGGGTGGGTTCGTCGCCTTTGGCTCTTTGGAAGCGCTCTTTGTTCATGATCAGTGAATCATTCGTCTTCGCAGTGTGGCCATTGTTCCTTCTAGCCAACCCTTTCGACGGGGATACTTAACCGTTAAGGGTCGACGTTCATTCAATACGCTTTTAATGTCTTAATTATTTTGGAGACGTTTTGTTCATTGATTAAAATCATGAGATTAGAACCATTTTTGATTTACGTGTATTTTTTATGAGAAAAAATATTATAACGAATTATAAATTATGATTCAAATCAGGGTACGAATCCCTTTATTTAATGTCACCTTTATGTTTTAGTCACGCCACGTGGCGCACAACCATTACCTCGTGTGGGGACCCCACAACACTTTTGATTGGTATTTTTGAACTCGTTTTTCAAATTTTCTGATATTCTTTTCGAGATTCTTTGCAATAAATTTGATCTTATTTCCACTTCTTACAATGGTGTCAAAATGCTTTTCGTTTCTGTAGTTTTCCCTTTTGGAGCTTTTGGGATATTGTTTGTTTAGTTTTCTGTTCCTCCATTGCTAGGGTTTCTTTGATTTCTTTGTTGTTGTGATTTTGAGGCTCCGTTTTTGGCCCCCCTTTCGTTCGATTAAATGCATTTTCAGCAACAAGAGAAAAGGAACTGAGAAAAGAGGAACTGTTTTAAATCTCCGTCTTGAAAAGTATGCATTTTTTTTTTTTTTCAAACACTCGAGTTTATGATCTCTTTCTGAGTCTTTTCTAATAATGTATACTATTTTCCTTTAGGCTTTGAAATGGGTGACGACGAGATGAAGAACGAAGTCGTTGCTGAGTCTCCAACTTCGGTGCTCGAAGACGAGGTTCGGTTTTACTCTTCTCTAATGGCGTTTCTTTCATATAGTTATACGCATTTTTGTCTGTGTCATTGCGCGTTTTATACTTGATTTATTCAGAAATGAAAGATTTCTTCATTTAGTATGATTTTTGTTTTAAGTACTCTTGTTGGCTTTCTGACAATGAAGGATATATGTAATGAGAAGGTCGAGGTGAAACTGGAGGAAGAGATACTCGTTGATGGAAAAAATGGAGATTCTTTGCTCATATCAACAGCCATGGTGGAGGCTGAAGAGAAATTGCTGGAAGCACGGTTGAAAGAAGAGGAAGAAGAACTGAAAAAAGAGCCAGACGAGTCTGCGAATTTGAATGACACTCAATTTACCAAACTGGATGAGCTTCTAACGAAAACTCAGATGTTCTCTGAATTTTTGCTTGAGAAAATGGACGACATCATGCTTGTATTGTTTCGTGCACCCTTTAATGAATTATGCTTGTTTACTTCTTATTCCTATGATTGGGTTTTAACATAAAGTGCATTGTTAGGATCGAGTGGAGCAAGAGGCAGAAACCACGGAGAAAAAGAAAGGTCTTGGTGGGAAAAGGAAGAAAGCTGCCACACAGTATAACACTGTAAGACTTTTCTACTCTTTGTTTACTACATTCACGTCATTACTTATGTTTCTAGCTGGTAATGGTTTAGTTTACGTATTGTATATGTGATTTCCTCTGGCAATTTCTATATGGACTTTTTTTTTCGCCTTTGTCTTTATCTCCTACTTCCAATTTCTTTTAGAGGAAGGCTAAGAGGGCAGTTCAAGCTATGCTCACGAGGTCAAAAGAGAGTGAGGAAGCAGAAGACACGGACCTTACTGAAGAAGAAAGAGTTGAAAAAGAACAAAGAGAACTTGTTCCTTTGTTGACCGGTGGAAAATTGAAGTCTTATCAGCTAAAAGGCATAAAGTGGTTGATCTCATTGTGGCAAAATGGCCTCAATGGGATTCTTGCTGATCAAATGGGACTTGGAAAGACCATTCAAACCGTTGGTTTCCTTGCTCATCTAAAAGGAAAGGGAATGGATGGTCCCTATTTAGTAATTGCACCTCTTTCGACTCTTTCAAATTGGGTTAATGAGATTTCGAGGTAAATTTCAATTTTATTTTGGTAAACTATGCCGGATCATCTTTATGCTTTAATTCTAAGTCTTTTTTGGTTCCTTGAATCTGTTTCTCTTACAAATAGGTTCACTCCTTCAGTGAAAGCCATTATATACCATGGTAACAAGAAGGAAAGAGATGAAATCCGAAGGAAGCACATGCCTAAAGGAATTGGCCCTGAATTCCCCATAGTTATTACTTCTTATGAAGTTGCATTGGCTGATGTGAGAAAATCTTTGAGATATTATAATTGGAAATATGTTGTGGTTGATGAGGTAAGCGATCTCCCTGTTTAGGCCATTAGTTTCCTTTAAGTAAACATATTTTATGGCATGGGATTTTGAAGATGAGAAAATTTTGCATCTTCTTTTCTGAGTATATATTCTTTCTGAAGGGGCACAGGTTAAAAAATTCAGAGTGCAAGTTGTTTAAGCAAATGAAATTCTTGCCTATGGAGAATAAGCTTCTATTGACTGGGACACCTCTGCAGAATAATTTGGCAGAGCTGTGGTCACTGTTGCACTTTATTTTGCCCGATATTTTCTCATCCCTCCAAGAATTTGAATCATGGTAAGTTTGGTTTTTCTAGCAGATTTTTTCCCAAATTGAAGCCTGTTGATGTCCTAGACAGCTTGACTCATTTGTTATCCTGGAAAGTTGGACTAGTATTGTAACTACTCTTTATTAAATAGTAACCACGATAGTATACAATGTGTTTGAGAGCCCATAACGAGTCTTAAGAGATTCTGCACTATATCAGGAAATGCTATGTAAGAAATGACGTTTCAAACACTATGAAGATGACAATGTACTTGAGTACTACGTTTCTAAATTTTCAGATTTTATGAAAATATGCACTATGAAATATTGCATACTTCACTGTTGGTTGTCTAATGCTCAAGAGTCAACACTGTTGACAATATGTTCAAACTGAGTTACTGAAAAAATGATTTACAAGTTTATGATATCTTTAATGGAATGTTATTACAACGTTACAAGAGAAAGATGATCTTTTCCTTGGTCTTAGTAGTTTAAACCCTACTTTTAAGAATATTTCAAACTGCTTAAGGAATCATATAGGGGTAGATAGTTTTTAAAATAGTTTCTGTTCTATCACAGCGCTGTGTTGTTTTCAAAATTCAAATATTTTGACTTTTTTATTTGATATTTGAAGATGCATCTCGCACAAATTCTTGTCAGTTGTTGTGTCCCAAAGGACTTCCAGTGTGAATATTTTGACATTGACAGTTCTTACTGTATCAATTTTTTTTGCTTGCCTCATTTCCTAATTTGGCAACTCTTCTTGTCAATGTTATTAACTGAAAAAGCTACTAGAAGAAGGGCTCCATGTGAAGCCAATATGTTGAGTTAATTTGAATCAAGGATGTATTAGGCTATTAGCTTTTCCATGGGGAGATTAAGTTGGTTTGCTGGATAGATTAAGTTGGTTTGCTGGATAAAGGATACTTAAGATTATAGTGGTCTGATGCCTTCTGTGTTGACCAAATTTATATACTTGATGACAACCATATTTTCAGGTTTGACCTGTGTGGAAAATGCAATGGTGAAGTAATTAAGCAAGAGTTGGAAGAGAAGAGAAAAACTCAAGTATGATTATCTTCATAACATTTTGGTTTCTCTTCTGTCACACATGTGTAACTTACTCGTGCTTAATGATGGGACCGGGTGGTGTTTTTGATTCCTTGTAGGTGGTAGCAAAGCTGCATGCGATATTGCGTCCGTTTATTCTTCGACGAATGAAGTCTGATGTGGAGCTGATGCTTCCTCAAAAGAAAGAGATCATACTGTATGCAACCATGACAGAGCATCAAAAGAATTTTCAGGATCATCTGGTCAATAAGACATTAGAAAATCATTTAACCGAAAAATGGGAAACTGGTATTTGTATCTGTTTCAGCTTGGCAATTTGGTAATATTTCTTTTCAAATAGATGACAAAATTGTATCTTCTTTGTAGGAGGTGGAACTCGTGGTATGAAAATTAACAATTTGATGATCCAACTGCGGAAGAACTGCAACCATCCTGACCTTTTGCAGTCAGCTTTTGATGGCTCATGTATGTCTCTGTTAATTTCTCTTTCATGTTATTGTGCAAATACTCTGAAATTTCACTTCTCTGTTTTTGTTAACTCTTGACAGATCAGTACCCACCTGTCAAGCAGATAGTTGCACAGTGCGGCAAATTTCGATTGTTGGAACGATTGTTGACCAAGTTGTTTGCACTGAAGCACAAGGTAAGTTGCAATTATTACATGTATGTTTTATTTGTTAATCTAGTAACCAAAATCATTTTCTGCTTTGTTTTTTTTTGTTCAGATTTTAATCTTCTCCCAGTGGACTAAGATTTTGGATATAATGGATTACTATTTCTGCGAAAAGGGTTTTGAAGTCTGTAGAATTGATGGCAATATGAAACTTGATGAAAGGAAAAGACAGGTGTGTTCCGTCTTTCGAAATTTGAGGAGAATATGAAAGCTGTGTATGTTGACAATATTTCTTTAATTTTTTGCTTTTGGGTTTTGGTATGTCAATTTTAACCACTTAAAAAGCAAATGATTTTTCCCCAAGTTGGCTTTTTGAAACTTAATTTTTGCAACAGAAGCCAACGTTGACTAAATGTTACCATTCTAGTCACTTTCATTTTTTTTGCAACAAGCATATCCTTTTACCAAACAATGCAGCTCTCAATCTGATTTATAGTTTGATTGATTGAAATAAATAATTAGTTTATTTGAAAAGAAAGCCAGAAAATTAATCTCCATAAGTGGAGTAAGAGATAAAAAGTTTTGATCCTGATGTAGTAACTTATACGATCTTTTTCCCTCCAACAAATTACCGTTTTTATTCTTACTGTCTTTGAGTAGTACCCTCTTATGCTGAAATTAAAACGTTGAAATTTGAAGGTGAATTACAATGTTTTCTTGATCAATATTCCATTTTCACCAACAGATCGAGGAGTTTAACCACGTGAATAGCAATTATAGAATTTTCCTTCTAAGCACCAGAGCTGGTGGGCTGGGTATCAATCTTACTGCGGCCGATACTTGTATACTGTATGACAGTGATTGGGTATTTTTCTTCTCATGACTTTCCCCCCGGTTTTTTTGAAAACAAAATTTAATTGCTTTTGGCATTTTGGAAATATTAATTTATTTATTAGTTGTATACGTGCATGTGCATCTCAGAACCCCCAGATGGATTTACAAGCCATGGATAGATGTCACAGAATTGGTCAGACCAAGCCTGTTCATGTTTACAGACTCGCAACAGCTCAATCAATAGAGGTAACTTGGTCATGTTAAGAGTGTTTGAATCTTAAATTCACCATTTGATTTGTCGCTGTTGATGTAAGAAAGGTAAGAAATTTTGAGAATTGTTTGTTTGCAGGGTCGCATGTTGAAAAGAGCTTATAGTAAGTTGAAACTTGAGCATGTCGTAATTGGGAAAGGGCAATTCCAACTTGAAAAAGCAAAGCCAAATACCAAAGATACTCTGGAGGTTTGTTTTCTTGTTCAATGTATTTGTTGGTGTGCCAGTTCCTTGCAAGGTTTATTGAATATAACAAATGGATTCTGCGTCGAATAGTCCCCACTTGTATATTTTGGTTCTTGTTTTTCTGTACTCAAAGCATCTTTGATGCTGTTTATTATCCTATTTTGGTTCTGTTTTTTCTTCGAGTTGTTGTTATTGTTATTATTTATTTCTTTTCTTCTTTATTTTCAGCCGTTTAAGTACTCTTGAAAATGGAACTAAGACTTGTTCAATCTTGTTAATCTGTAAAATATGACTGCAGCCTAGTACATATCCATTTTTAAGGTTTAGCTTCATGAATCTCATCTTTCCATATTATGAACTTATCTGGTTTAGTTTAGGCAAGTCGTGCCACTAAATGAATATGTTGAAGCTAGGAATTTTAAGTTGTTTTCCGGGCTTACGTTAAACAGGAATGTAAAACTTTTGCTGATTTGGCCGTGTGATAATTATAACATGTCAATATTTTACAGGAAGAGGAACTATTGGCACTTCTACGAGATGAAGAAACTGAAGAAGACAAGATGGTTCAAACTGATATCAGTAATGAAGACCTTGAGAAAGTGCTGGATCGCTCAGATCTGATTCGGAAGCCGACAAGTGATGAAGACAAGACCGACGGGGCTGGTGAGGCATATCCCCTTAAAGGGCCTGGTTGGGAGGTTGTCATACCAAATGCAACTGGAGGCATGCTTTCCTCTCTCAATAGTTAGTTAATTACCCCGTTTTGGGGACATTTAACTTTGGGATAACAGTGTTTTTGGGAACTTAAATTTTCCGGTAGGCCTTCGGGTATCCCATCTTATAATTATCGGCGTTTTGGGAATATTGCTGCTAAGATTGATGGACTTGCCTATATTTTGTAATTGGTCAAGGCTGCACTAGTAAGAGCCAGATTTTGGTTCTGTTTTTTTGTGTTGGAACTTGAAAGTTCCAACTGCCGCTGAACACACATGTAGATTTAATATTTAGCCGTGATGGTCGAAGGCTTTTCTATACGGAACAACTATGATGTCAATCCCCTTTGGCGTGCCATCAAGCAAAAGACGTGTTTTTAGTGTTTTTATGTTTTGAGAATAGGACTAGAGGAACGAAAAAAAAAAGAGGAATGTTTGACGAGAATTGGTGAAAGTAAATTGATAAACTTTGTTGGAAAACATATCCATTTTGCTTTTGAAAATTTTTAGGTTTTTGCGACATGCCACATGGCAATTTCTGCTTTTTCTATATAGCAATAACAAACATTTTACGGTTTCAACTTTCAACGGGTTTGCTGTTTAATTTGTGTAAAGGTCACGTGTTTTTTATGTTGTAAAAATTATATCGTTTCAAATAAAACGATATGTGGTTTATTTGTCTCGAGTTCTCTGTTGTATAGTATCGCTTTTAGTTTAAGTTTAAAGTTCTGTTCATTTTGAATGTGTTCTTTTCAATAGTTTGAAATTTGATATTGGAGTTAAAAAATTGGAATTGTGTTTGAAATTTGAGTTGTGTGTTCACTTGGACAATTTGTGATTGTTGAACTTGAGTTTTGTGTTCACTTTTGATAAAAACATAATTCCAATTTTTATAAGTATTGACATGGATTTTTTTTTTAAAGAGAGACTACCTATAACACACCTACATTCATAAATAACTAAAAAACGTCCATAAGTTTAGTATTACAAAGTATTGTAAAACATATAAGGTAGTTGAAATTGCGAAACAAATATGTAACTACCGATTGCGATATGCTTCCAATGCCCCCCACATGCTAGCAGCCATCTCGTCCCTCAAAATATTCATTTGTCTATGATTTGCGGAGTTGTGATTTTTTCCGTTCCCCGATCAGGATTGTGATTCTGATTAACATCTTGATCTGCATTCTCTGGATCAATTTCAAATACTGGTACTCCGTCTCGTGTGTTCTAGTTCAATAGCTCATCATTATTGTTGTACATATGTATGAAATTGTGAAGCACGGCACAAGCAATAGGAATTTGTATCTGTTTCTCTATTGGGTAATTATTTATGCACTTGAGTATGCGGAACCTTGCTTTCCAAACACCAAAAGTGCGCTCAATAGCATTTCTTAGAGACGAATGCGTGTAATTGAACAACTCACGCTGAGTTCGAGGACGACCACGTCTTGCCCTATACTCTTGAAGGTGATATGTGCTCCCCCGGTACGGCACCAAGAAACAATCATTGTTCGCGTAACCAGAGTCTACAAGGTAGTATTTACCTACATTATCCATTACAAATCAATAATTAAGTACGGACAACTCTTTAGTGCGGTCAATCAACCAACGATGATGCTTGTTTATCAACATATATAGCAAGGATTATAGATGACATACCGGGCGGTGGAGTTGGGAAATTTTTTTCTCGTATCCCCGTTACGGATGCAAGAGCGCGCGCATCATGGGCAGAGCCCTCCCATCCAGCTAATATGTAGGTAAACTTCATGTCAAATAAACATACCCCTAACACATTTTGGGAGTAAAAACCCGTCCTATTCCTCCATACTTCGGGGTTACCTGATGGTGGAACACAAGGGACATGAGTCCCGTCGAGAGCTCCAACACAATTCTGTAATCAATTAACAACAACGATGTTACCAATCTTATAATGTTAGTCGCTAACGATATGACATATAACTATTGACATACCTTAAACCATGGCAAATACTTGCTTCCATTCGCATCAATGACTGGATCAATAATGTTAAAATTCGGGGGTGTTATGAAATCATGCCTTAGGTTACATATTGCCTCCAATACAGCCTCGAAGTATTTGGAAATTGTGGATCCAGAATGCTGCCATTGATCCTGCGATTCCCTATTACTTTGGCTTTGGGACACAATGTATAGGAAGATGAAAAGCTGCTCGTCCACGTTCATATTCCTAGTGGGTCTCAAATATCCTTTAAGTTCTAGGAGTGAACTCAGGCGATTAAAACAGTCACTGCCCATCCTAATCTTATTCCGAATTACGTCCTCATGGCCATCAAGCAAGTAATCAACACGCATAATACCTGTGAACGCAGAGGTGTGCTTAGGTTGAGGTGGGAGTCTATCCACGTAGGTTTGATAATACCAAAGAATAGCCGCGACACCTGCTGCCTCATATTCATCATCAGAGTCATCGCCCATTGTGTTGTTGGGCGACGCGTTCGAAAGCCCTCCGTTCGACATTACAACTTGTTCGCCAAATCTGTTATAGTAGAAGTCACCTGTACAACATAATTAATGTTAAAATTGTGCAATAACATAATGGCAAAGTATTTAAAAGTCACTACTAAGGAGGTGCCCATTTCATAACAGGTAAAGTCTTTAATGCAAATTGCACCATGTGATCAGAACATAAATTGAAAGAAAAAGCAAATGAAGCAATAGTTTCGAAGTACAACACAACTCAATAAATGATTACAACATAGTTAAAAGCCTCATAATTAAGAAAATGGTCTGGCACTATTTAAGCCTCATAAACACAACTCAATAAATGATTACAACATAGTGAACAGCCTCATAATTAAGAAAATGGTCCGGCACTGTCTAAGCCTCATAAACACAACTCAATAAATGATTACAACATAGTTAAAAGCCTCATAATTAAGAAAATGGTCCGGCACTGTCTAAGCATCATAAATAAAAAGCCTCATAAATAGCTACTCTTCATTGCTTCCTCCACCAAAATGACCGGAGTTAGGTGGAAAACTAGGCATGTAATACGGTGGTGGGCATTGAAAGTTAGGGAGATGGGGAGTAACATTTGGGGTCATGTTTTGGATTAGTGGGTGTTGTGGTTGCACGTGGTGAGGGGGTTGAGAGAAAATGGGTACTTGTGGTTGGCCAAAGGTTGGAGGTTGTTGGCCATAGATTGGCGGTTGTTGGTAAAAGTTGGGTGTGGGCATGAAGTTTTGATACGGGGGCTGCATGAAGTTGGAGGCCATGGATGGAGGGGCCATGGTGCAAGGCTGGGTAGTTTGATTCGTTTTAGAGCTAATGGTCATCATCACGAAACAAACCCTTTGCGTCTCTGTCATATCCAAAAAGAGTTGTTGCATGTGCGGAAACCACGCAATGGCCTCTAAAAATGTTATAACACTTTCATCATCAAGATCCATTTCCTTCACGAGCACTGTACACTGCTGCAGAACAGAAAGGGTCGCAGGGTTTTGAGTAGCACTGGAACTGGTAGCCCTGCTACTATTCCTATTTTCTATAGATGCTACAAGTCGTCCAAGTAGTGCCTTAGCCTCTGGATCGCCAACCGGACGTTTCTGACTGCATCCAGATTTCTTGCCAATTGCCTTAGAGGTGGATGCAACATTCAAGCCCTTCCTAGCAGTGTTCAACCCAGCTCGCATCGTAGTGACAAAACCGTCATCGCTGCCTAACGAATACGACGTCGCCCCCCTTTCACCTTCTTCAGCCGGGATTGGAATTGTGTCTACGTGCTCGGTGGTCGGGTTTTCCAATCCCTTCGCAAATTCTCCACCTGCACGGATACTACCAAATGCCTCGCAGTACAGGTCAAAGTTTTTAAGGGGCTGCTTCTTCGAAGCATTAGCCTACTTCTTGTTCTGTGTGACAAATAACGTCCACATAAGCTACCTCACGTTTAACACATGTCCTAATTGTTGACAAATAATTCGAAAAGGGAAAATGAACATCTGGAAATTAACTTAGCAAAATCTTCCCAATACTCGTCCGTAAAAGTCACTGCGCCTGTCACAGGATCCCAACCAAGGCCTGTGGTTGTACGTAGTATAACCTCCTTATCAAACTTGCCTTTTAGACGCACTCTCATCTGTTGAACCTTGGCCGCCGTAACTGGATCGTTAAAATGTTTTTGTAGTTCAGTAGCCCAATCTTCCCAATTTTTTTGGACCGGTTTCCGACCATTGTATTTACGGTTATACTCTACTAGGAGTTGCAACAACTCCTCCTTCTGCTTTTGATTCCAATGAAGAGTCGTGTCCTCATCATTGCCCCCTCTCGGCATCTACCACCACACACCAACGGCATCATCCCGCACAAATAAGATTCCACAAACAAAAACAAGTATTAACTATTATATATATATATATATATATATATATATATAAACACACAGTATACCTCAAGGCTTGAGGGTTGCAGCATGATTTTCGTTTTGTCAAAAGTTCTTTATTTGTTTTCCTCTTTAATATTTGTCTCCACTATAGCCCTCATGTAAATTGGACTAATTATTATATTTTTTTTAATTCAATCAAGAGAGAGGATTGTGGGAGGTTTGTTAGAAGTGAATTTGTTCTAGATCTCCAAATTAGAACATGAGCTATAACTTTATGAAAGTGTATTGGGAATGTTAATTTGTCTGTTTCTTTCTTTTTCTATGTTAATTGTTAAATATCATGTCCTTTTGTGTATCTTATGTTTCTACATTGCATTTTATATGGTGGGGGATAACAACTTAATCGAACAACATAGTGGGTTCCTATGCTGTTTATGTGTGGATTATACACTTTCTTGAGCTAGTTTTTAGGTACAAGTTCTGCCCAAGTCCATTTAATATAATATCATAGTCATATTTTTGCAAGCGATGCTTGATTAATGATGCATTGTGTTGGTGAATGTTGTAATCTAAACTATGGAGATCAAAGTGTGAAAACTAACTCCTATGAATTTTCAGTCAAAAAAATTTACTCCTCAGACATCACATTTAGAAAAGTGATGCGAGAACAGTTTTCAAACCATAATAATGCACACAGAGGATGTTGCTATTTTGAGATCCAAGCTAAGTTTATGGAGAATCACTTGTAAACGTGATGAATACTATGGGTAATGACAGGGAGCATTTAATTTTGTACCGGATTATAGTGAGTTTTTCTCCTTATAATTATGTGTAATGCGAATAATGAGTTTTTGATTGTTAGTTGATATGTATGTGTTAGTATGTACTATGTACAATGCTACAAGTTTTGGTATGGTTTGTGAATCGGCAGCATCATCACCCACACATCCTAATCACCGCAAAGCAAAACATTGAATAGAAGAAGCAACATAATCAGATAGCATTGCATTCTACACACACACAGATAGCATTGCAGAGGCCAAGACATATTCGTAATCAGAGCCCAAGGCATATTTAGAGGCCAAGACGTAATTAGAGGCCAAGACATATTCGTAATACTGTCAAAAAATCAAATGCCAAGCAAACCAAAGAGACTCCAGTTTTCGTGATAATGTCAAAAACCAAGTGGGGGAGTGTTTACCGTGTTTGAGCCGGCAGAGGAGTGTTGATGCTCTGCTTCGATAACCCCCAACCGCGAGTCCGATGGTTCTGCCAGCCAAGTTCGCCAACGGCAACGACAATGGGAAGACCGGTACTGGAGACAACGCCTACGCACTCGGAAACGACATTGCACACTACATCGACTCAACAATACTGCCAATTGATTGTAGCGCTTCACTTTCTTCGGACCAATTTTGTCCGTTTTGAAAATTGAAGAAGACGGGGAAAAAGAAGGGAACTAGGGTTTCGTGTTTGTTTCAGAATCAGGAAAATGGGTGAGTATTGAGGGATTTATGGGTGAACGAGGAAGGAAAAACTCACGCGGCCCTCGATTTGTACAAACCCACCGAATCAAAAGTGCATCACCGACTGCCGGGCTCACCTTTCACAGAGGCTCGACTGTAGCAGATGAGAGATGGGAGAAGAGAATCGTGAGCCAACAAGCAAGAACCAGAGAGGGCCCTTTCTCGTGAGCCAAGCAGAAATCAAAAGCTTTGGAAACGACAATGAATGGCAAGCAACGGTAACAAGCGCATGTGAAAAGCTGTATGCGCAGAGAATCTGCACTGTAGAAGACAGACTCGAGTTAGTGAAATTCAGGGGGTAGTTGATGTTTCATTACTCCAGTTCAAACTCGAGTTTTGAATCTGAGTTTGGATTACCGAACGTAGTATTAGGCCCAAAACTCAATCCGAGTTGGGCTAACTCGAGTTTTATATGCCAAACGAACGCAGCCTTTATTAATTTGAGTTTAGAATTTGAGTTTTGTTATAATAAAATGCTCTAAAAAATAATCATATTTAACTTTTCTGTAACAATAAAAGGCTCTCAGAAACGGTCACATCTAAGTTTTTTATTATAGTAAAAAGTTTTTATATAAAATCACATTTCAATTCAAATTAAAAATTTGAATCAGCAAATTGAATGGGTAATGTCGTCGTTTAACTAATGAATTAAATAGTTCTACTTGTTCACAAAATTTTTTTGTTTGTTTGTTAATGCATTAAACGAATTAAATAGTTCTGCTTGTTCACAAAATTTTGTTGTTTGTTTGTTAATGCAAATTTTCTGTTTTTTTTTTTTTTTGTGTTTTTTATTTTTATTTTTTTTAGTTTCAACAACGACAGTCTTTTGCCTCGAAAGTTATTTTTGTGTAAGATGTAAAATACTTGATACATGTTATTCTATTTAAATAATGAGAATAAAAATTTATTAAAATTTTTATATTTGATATAATTATTAAATTTTTTTAAAATTTAAAAAAGTAAAATTCATAAATTTTATATTATTTTGAGATAATCCTAAACTCATTTAAGAGAGTTATTTACTTTTCTTTAATATCAGCGGGAAAAAAAAAAAAAAGCACTAACCTCTCTCCCAGACTCTCACCCATCGACCACGCCGCCGCCGCCTTCCAATCAACCACGCCGCCGTTGTCGGACTTTTCTGTTCCGAAACAACCAAGGTGTGTTTTTTTTCTTCTTTTCTTCTTGTTGAATCCGCCGCATCAACCTAGTTTTTTTTTTAATAATTTCTGAGATTTCTCAGCAACCAAACATATCCAAGAACATTATCAAAGAAAACCCACAGATAGAAAGGAAAAGCAGCTTCCTTAGTCCATGGTGGTGTTTCTTAGAAAGGAGAGATGGTTGACAACCCTGACAGGGATGGGATCAACCTTCGGGTTTCCCTGTTAAAGAATTTTAAAAATTATGAACTATGTTTAGATGGATGGTGGTGGGGTTGGGGAGTTCTACCGCTGCAAGTGCCGTGGGAAGATGGTAGCTTTTACCGCCCAAATGAGGGGGGTTGTAAACGCGCATTTCGAGATTGCCGGAAAAGAGGTGATTGGGGAGTACTTTGTCTTTGAAGTTATATGGACATGTTGGCGAGGCAATTTCCTCACGTCATTCTGTTTTGTAGTATTGTACCATGTAATGATATTCGAATCGTAACTTATTTTTATTTGGCCTTTCAGGTTGGTGGCCGAGATGGTGGAGCAGTGCAACAACTGGGATTAGCTTTTGTTGCCGGGATAGAAAAGAAAGAAAGGCATGATTTTTCAAAGGTTTGGTGGGCAGAGGACTAGCAATACTCTCTGTTGTATAAAGTTGTTTTGAAAAGCAATATGCGATTGATTTTCCGAAAGACGAAAAGGAAATAACAAAATTGTCAGAATTTGTAAATATCTTGTTTCTAGAATTTCTTAAGGAAAATTGTCCTTTCTCCAAGGCGTTTTCCCCCTGTTTTTACGAGTTTTTGTTGTTATGATTATTTGTGGAGTAGCAACATCCACCATAATTCTAATATGGCAGCAATGCTGGGTGATATTCATTGATCAAATGATGATCTTGTTCAATGTGCTGAAATCATATTAAAGATATAGTGAATTTGATTTGAAGAAGGTCCCTTCTCTAAGATTATATGTTCTTGGCTGCAGAACATTGGGATATTTGGTTGTTCAAAGAAGGCTTCGACATATGGCAATTCTCAATGTCTGGGATATAAGTTACATCAGAAACGTGTATGAAACCATGTATGCTACCTTTTTGGTTGTCTTTCTTGTAATCATATAACGAACACTTAATACGAAAGAAATTGGAATGTTAACACCACATTCTTAATGAGAGCTGTTGATAGACAATTCAACATAAATTTTGACTATGATTGTCAACCGAAGAGTTGTGCATTACCAGATATGGATCTTTTTTTATTGGAACCATTGTAATTCATTTAAATTTTTTTTTTAATACACAACATTATTAAACATAGTAATATATTATTTCTGATAATTTGAGACAAGATCACAATAATGTATTATTCTTGAGAATCATATTACTCTTCATCATTTTCTCAGAAATATGATTCTTACTGAATATTGTGTACCAAACGTCCTTTTAGAGACTAATTCTAATCTCAAACTTTGTATTAGTCTGAGTTTTCATTTTTTTTAATAGGTGTGATCCCTTAGTTGCTCTAGTAATTAGGCATGTAAGTCATCCGGGGTGGGTCGGTTTTGAAGAAAAATTGGGCCGGCCCGCATGTCTTGGGTTGGGAATGATTTAGGCCGCAACAGCTTGTAGAATTAGGATGCCTGTATACCATTTGGGTACCTCAGGTCGGCCGGGTTACCTCGGGTAAACTATGAGTTTTTTGTAAAAAAAACCCCTTTTTTAACTTATTTTCATTACTTACTTCATCTGAGACTTAATTTTAACAGACTCGTCTTGAACAAGAATTATCTAAATACTCAACCCTTTATGTTGTGTTCGGAAGATTTTTAAACTTATTATCATTAGGGTTGAGCATTGTTTTACCTATTTTTTCAACATGTTCGGCCGAGTAGGGGTACCTCGGGTCCATGGAATCCCACCCCGCGCATAATTAAACTGAAAATTAAATAAAAATTGGAAACCCGTGATTTTCGGGTAAGATCAGCTCGGCTCGGCTGGGTTTGTCAGGTTCAGGGTGATTTCTTATGGCCCTAATAGTAATTTTGTAAAAGATTAGCAATTAAAAAAATAACAACTAAAGAGTTTATACAAAAAATTATAATTAGAGTTAGCGTTCTTAGTAAAACAAAAGTATGTTTTGTGTCGGATATTATTTCTTTTTGCTTATAATTTCGGTTTTCAGTTTAAAGTCTGTTGATCGAGTGGTCCATAGTTTTGTATATAGGAACAAAGGGCATTAATTCTATAAAATACATACCATTTACTACTTTTCGGTCGTCTAGTTACTCATAACGAACGTTTATCCTATTGTTCACAAACGACATATTGTTCATGCCTAAAATTTGACTAGAAACTACGTAATTTATAGTTAAAGTTTTGCTGTTTTGAGTCTGAAGAACGACATGTCTGTTATCTCTAGCAAAGAATCAGCGTCTTCTCACATCTAGTTGAGCTAACAAGTAAATATAAAACGTTTTCATTACAAAGTATGGTCTCGTCAAAAAAACTGCGTGCCGTTCTTTGGTTCGTTTGGTATTACTTTTAGAGACTGTTTTTAAATTTTTTTTAAAAGAATTACTGAACTTACTTAAGAGTATATAGTTTTTAATTTTTATTCATTATTCTTAATTAATATATTTTTAACTAATATAATTATTTAACTAAAAAGATATTACTTAAAAATAAAAGGATAAAAATTTAGACTCATGCACTTTAAAAAAGTCTGTCTCTTTTCTTTTTTTTCTCCCTAAAGCTACATCAGATTAGGGTATTTAGTAAATCATATTTTTGTCTAGCAACTTTTAAAAACTGATTCAAAAAATAAAATTTGAGACGCAGGTTAATGGTTACTTTTACATAACAACTTGTGTTGTCATTTTTTAAATTTACTGAAGTAACCTTAATAATAAAATTAATTCTCCATCTACCCATTTTATTTTTTCCATATCAAATTAAAAAATAATTTTTAAATGATTAGTAAAAAAATTTATTAAGTATACTATGCTAAATTTTATTCAAATATTTTTTATAGTTATCAAAATGTTTAAAAACAGCAACAATAACTAAAAAATTTAGTAGATGAATAATTTTCTCATTAAATAAAAGTAATTTATTTTTCCAAAAAATATTTTAAATAATAAAATTAAAATTTTTAGTATCTTGTGGTGTAAAAATATTATGAGTGATAACCTTAAAAATAGAAATAAAACTGACTACAAATATGTGTGCAAAAATATGTATATTTTATTCATTATATCTCTCCTTATTAATTTTATATATCGTTTATCAAATACCTAAATTTCTATAGCCTTGAAAAAAGTTTTACTAAATACTTATATATTTTTAGTCACAATAACTTTTCACTAACAATATGGCTACAACAAAAAATTTAACAGCACAACAACGGTAAACTCGCCCATATATTTACACTGAGGAATGAAAAAAGTTACAGAGAGAACGAATAATTGTACAATATTTGCTTAATGTAACGAGTTGAGATTATTTAGGACATGTTCTTTTATCTAACTCAAATCACAATTTAAATTTTTTTATTACAGTATTTTCTCTTATAAAAATTTAAATTTATTTTTTTTATTACAGTATTTTCTCTCGCATACTAAACTTAAATTTGAGAAAAAAACATGACCTTAACTACTATGTTCGCAGAAGCAATAACCGTAAATGGATAAGAGTTGTTGAGAAATATCCAAGTGGCTAAAAAGTTAGGTATATTAGAGCAATTATGTTGGATTGGAGTCGTATAACTTCTTATCTGTTACGGCTTGGACCTTTTCTTGCAGATTAGGGGCGCAGACTCCTTTCTCCTGTATTTTTCAGAGAGAGAACTAATATACGATCTTTTTGAAGCTGGTGAATATGCTGTCGTTCTAAAGAACGACATGTCGTTATTTTATTTATTAAAGGGACGTTTTTTGGTTTGTCGTTTATGCAACAAAAACGACATATTGTTTGTTAATGATGTCGTCTACCATTTGTAAAACGAATTTACACTTTAAACGAGAAGATAATAACCGAGTCCTTCAAAATTTCTGAATCCAACGGCAGCTGCACATTGATCTCAAGAACCAGATTCACGCATCAGATTCACCGCCAAAAAAAAATGCAAAAAAATTATCAAAATAAATGAATAAAAATAAGAAAGAGTGCTGAAAGAAGCGGAAGAAAAGTTAATCAAATTTTCAATTTCAGAAAACTCCATCTCCAATTCTCCATCCCCAAATCGTCGTGCTGAATTTTGTGTTCGGAAGTGCAAGGTCGGAGAAGATCAGATCTCCGATCCGAGAGATGATAACTCGGTCTAAACTCGTTGAGCAACTCAGAGACTACCAGATCCGATACCAGCACAAGTACCGGGCTCTTACTGTCTTCTCTCCCAAACCCAATATCACTTCTCGGTACTCTTTTTCCTCTCTCTTTTGTTCGCGTTAATTTTGTGAAATAATTTATCGAATTGTATTTCTTACTCGCATTTTGGTGTTTGAAATTATTGATTTTGATTCGAATTCGTTCATGATTTTTCTTTATTTATTTATTTTTGTGGTATTATTGTTTGAAGCTAAGTTTTGAGCGTTTTAAGCTGTTGGTGATTCTATTTAGAGCGTTTTATTATTTTATTAGCTCTTTTTTTTTTTTTTTTTTTTTTTTTTTTTTTAAAACATGTCATATGTGATGCCAATTGTTAGAAGAGGACAAGAATTGCAACTTTGGATTTAGGGGTTTTTAAGCTTTTGCAGGATCGTTTATGAGTACGTTTAGTAGTGAATATGAATTTACAATAGGCGTAGTAGTGAATTTACATTTCTGTCCCTCAAGAATTTGTATTTTTAGGCTTCAGTTTCAGGGGATTGGAAGATGTCAACTTTATTCAGTTGTAGCTGGATGGGCTTGTTTTCTTTATTAAGACTCTCGAGCTCACCTGAACGGCTTTTACCCGAGTGATATACGAAGTATTGCATATGTCAAATTTAGTATAAAAAATAGCACTGCATATGGTTTTCCTGCCTAGATGTCAAAATTTGGCACTGGCACAGCGTTGGAGATGCTCATTTTGTAAGGGTTCTGAAGAACACAATTTTCCGTCCAATATGTGAAGTTCATAATTTCTCCTAGTATTTTCCTTCCTTAAGGCTCGATGCGCACATAATGCTAAATGATCATTAACAAAAACCATATGATATATATACGTATGCAATATAGTAACAACAATAACTTGGTTCCTCTTTCTCTATGT